CTGAACCACCTCGCGAGAGTTATCCAGCTCGTCAAAGTTGTCCTTGAATATGTCCTCCTTCCTGAACTGCTCGAGGAAGGCCTCCCTCTTCCTCAGCTTATCATACTGACGACAGGTACGCTCAAACAGCTAGGGGTGAGGGAGAGGAGAACAGAAATTAAAATGCTCAAATCTAGCCTTTCTACATATAAGAACTCAGGTTTACTTTAACTAAAATTCTATAGTATTTTGTCAAAAAATATCTAAAAATAAAACCAATTCAAAAAATGAAAATCAATCGCTTTGCTATTGAAAATTATAATGTACAGTATGAAAAATGGAGGTTAATTTTGAGATTAATATCTTTAGCTAAAGATTACATCTAACAGTATTATCAAATTGAGTGTTAGATGACGGCAAAAACCTAAATGTAAAAATAGAACAATTGAGCATGAAAATTTACGGTCAATTATTTATAACAAATAGTCCAAAATTGCCTGTTTTATACCGATAAAAAATAAAAATAAACAAATTAACACAGTTATTCAGCAAGAATGTATAAAATTTACGAAGCGACAAAAAAAAAAAATCTATTTTAATAAATGCCGTTCTTCTGAACTTTCTATTCATCAAAGAATCCTAAAAAAAAAAAAAGTATTAGTTTCAGTATTAGTAGTTTCCACCAAAATATTAAGCGGCACAATTGTTTTCAACATTAATAATAATAAGAAGAACGGTTTCTTAAGCAGCAAATCAGCATATTAGAATGATTTCTGAAGGATCATGTGACACTGACTGAAGACTGGAGCAATGATGCTGAAAATTCAGCCTGGCCGCAACGGGAATAAATTATTTGAAAATATCTTAAAATAGAAACTGTTATTTTACATTTTACAAATATTTAACAATATTACTGATTTTACTGTATTTTAATAAATGCAGTCAAAAATCTGACCCAATCACCAATATAGTACCTAGTTCAAACCCATTTTTGAGCAGTTCAGACATGGAGAAATTAGGGTCAGGTCTTACTGAAGAGATGCTGGTGTGATTAGCCATCATAAGTCCACTGACACGATGAGCTGAGGGCAGGTAGGGAGATCGGCGGGACAGTGCCACTTGAATACTAGCTGGACCCCAAGGGATGAAATTAGCTAACTTCCTCTCCCTGATTCTCTGCAGACTCTTATGTACCTGCAAAAGACACATATAAACATGAGGACATGCACATATAACTTAAAATGTGCTGTGTTTATCTAATATGCTCACACCTGTGTGGGGTCCACCTCTCCCTGAATGATGTTGAGAATGGCAATGTAGCAATGATTGGTCTGACGGTCTCGGCCTGTGGACACCATGACATTCTTGGGCTGCAGGAGTCTCCTCATCACATCAAGAACTGTTGTTTTCCTCACACTTGCCACCTGAAATGATGTTAATTTTTAACAAAAATATTAAAACCACACAGAGAGAAATAAAATTAGAAAAGTAATGTTGTTACTAATGAAAAGTACAGACAGATATAGATAGACAGACAGACATGCAGAGAGGCAGAACGATGAAACAGATAGATAGATAGACAGACAGACAGACAGAGACACAGACAGACATGCAGACAGGCAGAATGATCAAACAGAGATAGATAGACAGACAGACAGACAGACAGACAGACAGACATGCAGACAGGCAGACAGGCAGAACGATCAAACAGATAGATAGACAGACAGACAGACAGGCAGGCAGAACAATCAGATAGATAGATAGATTGATAGACAGACAGACAGACAGACAGACATGCAGACAGGCAGAACGATCAGATAGACAGACAGACAGACTAGGTAGTTGCCTATATAGACTGCAGAAAGCAGTTTACTAGACTTTCAGAACGGAGCTACAAAGTTCCTTTGCATTTCTGCAAAGTATCTAAATGCAAATCCCCATGTTTGACCAACTTACGGACTGATCGGTGGTCAGCGGCGTGTATCCAGTCATGAGGAAGTGGAGGCGGGGAGTGGGGATGAGTGACGCAATCAGACCAATCAGATCATTGTTCATATATCCAGGATAACGGAGGGTTGTCGTGCTTGCTGACATTATTGTGGACACCTGTTAAAGAAAAGCACACGTGTCTTT